CTCAAGTGGTAGAGCGTTAGCCTTGAGCTGAAGAGCTGAGGGACAGCGCCCAGGCCCAGAGTTCAGGCCCCACGACCGGACCCAAAAAAAAAAAAAAAAAAAAGAGTTGCATGGGCTTTACTGCCATAGCTGGCTTCAAACTGATCTTCAGTTCTCAGCCTTCTGAATAGTTACAATAGGTATAAGCCTGGCTTAAATGCTTTTTTTTCCCCCTGCCAACTAGTTTTCCTTTTGAACTTGTAATTTTTCTTGGTTAGAGCTACAGAAAATAGTTGAAATTTTCTTCCTGCTTTTGTTATTATTTCTTTTGATGATTTTTGTCAACTTGACAAAGGTAGAAAAAAGGAATTCTGTGTTGTTTTATCATGCTTATATATGAAAAATAAATATGTTCCTATTATTTTATTGAGAAATTGTGGCTTTGAATAAAACATGAAATGGTCATATTTTAGCAGTTGTATCATTTTTGTGAAACATTATAGAAAATCAAATAAGAACAAATATTTAAGTTAGGTGCTTTTTCTTTAAGTCTTAAATTATTTTGATCTGTTAATAGGAAAAAGATATGTAAAATGAATGTTTTAAAATAATTTGATTTAATTAAAACATCTCTTACAGCATTTTGAAGCATTAGCTAATCGGGCTGCTACAACTGGCCACGTTATCGATATCTATGCTTGTGCATTAGATCAGACAGGCCTCCTGGAGATGAAGTGCTGTCCCAACCTTACTGGGTATGTATGGGAATTTGTAGAAGTTATATAATTATAAGTTAATAATGACAGTTTACAAATATAAACCAATAATGATAGTTCAGGAAAATAAAAGTATCTTTGTTGTCTCACTACTTCAGAACAACCTCTGTTTTGTCCATTGTGGGGCTTGAACACTGGGCCTGGGCATTATCCTTCAGCTCTTCAGCTCAAGGCAGCACTCTACCACTTGAGCCACAGAGCCACTTCTGGCTTTTTCTGTTTATTTGCTGAGGAATCAAACTCAGGGCCTCATGCATTCGAGGCAAGCATTCTACCACTGAGCAACCTTCCTAGCCCCTGTTAATGATTTTAGTGTGTCTTTTTCACTTTTTTTTTTTGTTGTTGCTTATGGGGATTGAACTCTGGGGCTGGGCATTGTCCTTCAGCTCTTCAGCTCAATGCTAGTGCTTTACCACTTGAGCTACTGTGCCACTTCTGTATTTCTGAGTGGTTTATTGGAGATAAGAGTCTCATGGACTTTCCTGCCTGGACTGGCTTTGATCCACAATCCTCAGATCTCAGACTCCTGAGTAGCTAGGATTACAGGCATAAGCCACCAATGCCCAGCTTACACTTTGACTTTTTTTTTTTTTTTTT